AGCCATGCTGGTTTCTTCTGGGAGCTGTTATTTTTCTTCTTCATTGGTATTGTGTTAGACTGGGCTTTTGTAATCTCATTAAATGTGTTTAATATTAGCTAGTATGTGGGCCAGGAGTTATATATGCTTATGCTTTGGAAATACAGGAATGAATTGGTTTAGTAAAATTATCTTACAGTACTTTGGCTTTGGGAGTCATTAGGAACTGGATGGCATATAAACTTAATAAGTTACTATTGATGTTTTGGAAGAAATCAGGCCTCATAATGCATTTTAGAATCAGAGATAACTAAGAATAAAGAAGATCTGAGGGGAGGAATGCCAAAATATTATAGGATAGTAACCAAAGTTCAAATATCTAAGACATATAAAGTGTAATTCCTGCCCATTTTAGAATCAGAGATAACTAAGAATAAAGAAGATCTGAGGGGAGGAATGCCAAAATATTATAGGATAGTAACCAAAGTTCAAATATCTAAGACATATAAAGTGTAATTCCTGCCCATTTTAGAATCAGAGATAACTAAGAATAAAGAAGATCTGAGGGGAGGAATGCCAAAATATTATAGGATAATAACCAAAGTTCAAATATCTAAGACATATAAAGTATAATTCCGGCTCAAGTTTACCTTTTGAGTATCTTCTTATACATAATATTAACAAAAATTTTCTTTTAGATGACCATTGATAGGCACCTGTGCATTTTATCAGTGTAGGTTATGTTTATTTTAGTTGTAGGACGAAATAGCTGTTTTCCACCTAGTGGAAACTATGTTTATATCATCTTTCCTACACTGAGTTGGATTACGGCCTCCATCATTTACATTCAGAATGGCTTAGGTGTGCCTGACATGATGGCTGGGGTAGACCAACTTATAAGGAAGACAACAGATGCAAATGTTGCCCTAGATTTGACAGATTACCTAGTAAGGAGTTCACATTCCTTTATCTGTATATAATAGAAAGTAATTAATGGATTATATGAAGACTCTATTACAGTGGAAACTCTTTCCCTTAAAAAGCAGAAATTGATTTATAGACACAGTAGCTCTGAAGAAGGACTTCTTTAATTCAAAACACCCTGGGCTATAAAATAAAGACCATATGATGGATAAAATCATGTATAGTCTTAGGGCCAAGCTATTTACAGGACTGCCCCTCCTAAACATCCCCTCTATACTTCTGGATCATCTATGAGGCAAGTTTGGTAGGTCCCGACAGAGATTTATTGAGCATCTCTGATTAATTTTGCTTTCTGCCTGAAAAGGGGAATGTTTCCCATTATTCCTCAAGCAATTCCCCTTTTTGTTACAATTTCGGAAGGAGCTCGACAAATATTTGTTTATCTAAGTTCCCTAAGTGTATTTGTTTTATTATTTAGCTGTTTAAAAAAAATAAGTGCTTTATTGTTTTAATGATCTATCTTTTACTTTAATTGGAATTTTTAATTTTTTTTCCCTGAAAGCCACCCCTGTGAAGGCAGCGCACAGCAAGCCTCAAATATCAATCAATCAATTTTAAATGAACTTTGGATTTTCCTTGTTTTGCTTTGACTTTGCTTCACTCTCGAACATTTTGTGGTTCCCCCTGGATGTCTTTACTAGGTTATGAAGTCACGTGGAGGCTGGGGGCAAGTACTTCATGAACTAGTTTCTCCCGTGATCTTGTTAGACGTTCAAAAGTATGCCCAGAGGAGATTAGAGACTAAGTGGTTGCCACAGTTTTATGCCCGTCAAGACTTGGGGACGTCGAAACCACGAAAGGTAATATTTGAATAATTTATATGGCAGCCTAGTGACATGTAGTTTGAATTGTGAATACCTCCTACTACTGGATTATCTAAAAATCAATGATCGTAAGAAGATACTACAGATGACTTGGTAGACAGTTTTGCTTCTAATGGATTCCTTAGTAGGTATTCCTGTAAGCCACTGAAAATAAAAGTGACTCTTGAGGCTAAGCCTCTACATCTGGCAAGCATTCCAGAGTTTGCTGGCGGGAGGTAGAAACCTTGATCATTGCAAGATTCTTTCCATCATCCACAATCCCTCCCTCACTGAGACACAAATGCAATTCAGTCCATGTGGAAGCTCACAGAATAATGCCGGTTCTGAAGACAACAGGCTGGCTGGCTCCTTCATGCTCAGGCTGTCTTTTTCTCACGTTGCAGCTGTTGCTCATCTTCCCACCTAGGGCACTGCCTTCTATCAAGAACAGTATTGATCCTTTCTTCTGCACGATAGTAAAATAGATGGGAGTCCTTGCCTGGGCTATCAGCCAGGCTTTTCATTGAGTGTAGGAAAGAATTATTGGCTCTACGGTGCAATGAATCTACTGGATAAGAAGGGGCTTTTAACTTGGTACCCCTCCAAAGAGGAAAACTGTTGAATCGGCAGAGTCCTCACTTCACTGATTTTATGGGTGTAGAGTTGGGAGATTAAGCCTGGCTTTGTTTTCTGTTCTTTTTCATTTCTTCAAAGTTTGTTCAGTGTATCAGATTACTTTCCTGACTAGGGGAAATAATAGTTGTGGGGAGAGGATATATTAGTATATCTAAGGGCAGCTGTTCTTTTTCAGCAGTGGTCTATTCAGGCTCTTGTCACTTCAGGAAGCAATCTGGATGCTTTTTTTAAGATAGCCAATGCGTTTGATTTTTGACCATCCAGATTGAAGAAAATATAACCTCGTTCTTTAAAGGAAGCTTAATCAATCTTGACCAGAGTTAGGATATCCTTCAAGGAATGAGGATACCCTCAACATCGGTATTAATATTTGTGCAAGTAATCAATATGCTGTTTTGTCATGTTCGCTTTCAGCTACATTTGGGAGAGGCCGCAGAAGACATTTTAATCCAGGGGCAGGAAGAGAAACAAGCACCATGGAAGGCAAGCTGTGTTTGTTTCTACTTGGGTCTTTGTATAACGTGAACCTATTATCCTTTAAACCAGGGGTGTCAAACTCAAAGCCAGGGGTCCGGATCCGGCCCATGGGATGCTTAGATCTGGCCCACATGGCTGCCCTGGAAACAAGGAAGGACTGGTCCATAGTGCCTCTCACAGCAAAAATGGAGCTCGGGAGGGCCACATGCAGTACTCCCGAGCTCCGTTTTGACCGGCAGAGGGTTGCAGGAGGCTGTCGCAGCCAAAAACAGAGCTCAGAAGCCTGTTTTCTCTGTCAGAGCGCTCGGGCCACCACAGACACTGCCGACATGAGTGACGTTAAGCCACACCCACCCTGCCTCCCGAGGTCAAACACAACCCTGATGCTGCCCTCAATGAAATCCAGTTTGACACCCCTGCTCTAAACTATGCAGTCTTTACATAAACAGGAGAGTGAGCCTAGCTGGTGTTAGGTAAGAGCAGTCATTTCAGTATTGCATTCATGATGCTACATCGGTAGTTTTGGCTCATGTTGTCCAATTAAGAAAATTAAGTTAATGCAAATGACGCAGACTCTGTTATTGTTGGAATTGGTGCAATTGGAGTCTGAAACTTAAAAAAAAGAAATCTAAATGGAAATCTTTTTAAGGTTTGTTTTTTATTTCTGTGGCTACAAGTGCAATTAACAAAGGTATGAACAATACCTGAATAAAGATGCAAACCTTTAATATTTTACTTTTAATTGCTTGCCATGGTTTTACACTTTAATTTAATGTAGAAAATACGTTTTCTTTATCCAGGAAACTGGAACAAAATATTGTTTTTTAAACACCCGGAAGATAATTTATTAAGGTGATTAAATGCATTCATTAAAAAGTATGAAATATGCAGCAAGATGAGCAGGATTAATCATATAGCATGGAGTCTGTTTCACTTACAGCTATGTTCTCACATTATGATCATATTGATTGTTAAATGTCTTAAAACCTTGTGACATGACATATATCAGACCAGGCCTTTCCTTTTTTTTCTATCTCAAAGAACAGCAAACTCTATCTCTATGCCTGTCTGTCTGTCTCTGTGCCTTGTCAAAGCACCTGGTATGCCCAAATATGGGAGGGAGCATATTGCTTCCCTTTTGCCTTTCAGCCCCACTCCAGGAGCCTTCCAGGCAGAAAAACCATTTTGTGTTGCATTTTTGCTGATAAATAAATGACGGGAGACTAGTATAGATCTATTTCAAGCTATTTAGCTCTCATCAGCTAGCCATAAAAGGGAAGCAGTATGCTTCCTCCCATATTTGGACATACCAGGTGCTTTGACAAAATACTTAATCATTCCCCTGGCTTAGCTGATAAGGGAGGAGAGCTTGTGGCTTAGAGTTTAATATAAATGCCTAATATGTAAAAACAGAGCAAGTTTGAATCCCAGCAAGGGTATGGCTTGCTGAGGAGAGCTAAACAGCTTGCTACACACACACACACACACACACACACACACACACACACACACACCACTGAAAAAGTGACTTATGTTATTATTCACACTTACCATAGTTGTAGCATCCCCACGTGATCAAAATTCAGATAGTTGGCAACTGATTCACATTTATGACTGTTGCAGTGTCCTGTGATCATCTTTTGTGATTGTCTGACAAGCGAAATCAATGGGTAAACCAATTCACTTAACATATAACTCACTTAACAACTGTGGCAAGAAAGGTTGTAAAATGGGGGCAAACTCACTCAACAAATGTCTCATTTAGCAACATAAATTTTGGGCTCAATTGTGAATTTTGCCCCATTTTATGACCTTTCTTGCCTCAGTTGTTAAGTGAATCCCTGCAGTTGTCAGTAAGATGGTTGTTAAGTGAATCTGGCTTCCCCATTGACTTTGCTTGTCAGAAGGTTGCAAAAGGTGATCACATGATTCTGGGATTCTGCGTCTGAATTTTGATCATATGACCATGGGGATGCTTGAATGGTTGTAAGTGTAAAAAATGGCCAGTACTGCGGTAATTTTGAACAAGCACTAAATGAACTGTTTGGAGTTGAGGATTACCTGCACTGATGACATTACCTAGTTTGGTAATGAAATGTCTGCGAGGGAACAACAAAGCTCAGAGAGCACCAAGCACCTGGCACTAATGTTTTTGTTTTGCTTTTTCTCCCTGTAGTTCAGGGGTGCGATCCTACCGGTTTAGCAACCAGTTCGCTGAGCGCACGCTTTGCGTCAGGCTTAACCTTCCTGATGCGCACTGTGCGCATTCACAGGAAAACAGCTGAGGCACGGCTCTGCCGTGCCTATTAGCTGGGCTAAAAAAACCAAGGAAATAAGGTGAGTATAGCCGGGCAGCCCGGCGGTCAGGCCCACCTGAAGGTCACAGCGAATTGGTTCCGTCTCAGCTGATCTTCAGAGTGAACTGGGCCGAACTGGTAGAATCCCACCTTTGCTGTGGGATACGGAGAGGTTAAGTAGGAAGGCAAGACTGAGTTCAGGAGGGGCATCTTGTATACAGGGAATCTCTTCAAGAGTTTTTTCCCCCCTACTCCTAATGGTATCTTTCCTTTTCAAAGACGTCTCTCAAAAATCTTGGAAGAAGGTAAGAGAAATGTATGAGCTGTCATGTTTCAAATTTGTTTTCCCAAATTATTTCCTGATCTCTTGTGTCATTTAAAAATGACCCTTCAACTGTGCTGGTTGGATCTGCAGCGGTACTTACATTTTTTTCATTTCCTTTGATTTATTTCAGTTTCTTTTTAGTCTGCTTATTCTTCCGTACTTAGTTTCCATGCTCCCCTATTTGTTTGTTTGTTTGTTTGTTTGTTTAAATTTATCAACAAGCACAAGGAAACAAGTAGGAAAAACAGATGAAAAAATGGCACATAAATGGATAAAAATAAGCAAAACGTAGCCATAAACACATAAAAAGAATACATCTAAATGGGACAGTAGGACAGGGACGGTAGGCACGCTGGTGCGCTTATGCCCGCCCCCTTGGGGACCTCTTAAGGAACGCGTAAGGTCCACGGTAGAGAGCTTAAGGTCAAAGGCATGGGGCTTACAGGAACTAACAACAGGATCGGGTAGGGTGTTCCACACATTTACTACTCTATTGTTGAAATCATTTTTCCTGCAATCAAGATTAGAACGGATTACATTTAGGTTGTATCTATTGATAACCCTTTGTGTTATTATTGCAGCTGGAGTAAAAGTAGTCATTAACAGGTAGGACATTATGGCAGATTATCTTGTGCACTAAGCTCAGGTCAGAATGTAGACGGTGCACTTCAAGGTTATCCAGGCCTAAAATTTCAAGCCTGGTGGTATAAGAGCCTGGTGGTGCAAGAGCCGAGGTGGCGCAGTGGTTAGGGTGCAGCACTGCAGGCCACTTCAGCTGACTGTTATCTGCAGTTCAGTGGTTCTAATCCCACCGGCTCAAGGTTGACTCAGCCTTCCATCCTTCCGAGGTGGGTAAAATGAGGACCCGGATTGTTGTTGGGGGCAATATGCTGACTCTGTAAACCGCTTAGAGAGGGCTGAAAGCCCTATGAAGCGGTATATAAGTCTAACTGCTATTGCTATAAGGAATTTTATTATGAGCAGAGGAGTTGAGTACTCTTATTGGAAAATCCCTCTGGACCCTCTCTGTTTTAATGTCTAAATCTTAATGTGAAGAGCCACAGATGTCTTGGTGGCATTAATTCCAGAAACAACAAACTTTCAGTGTCTGCCTGTGTCCATGACGATTGAAGTGGCTTTTCTCCACAAGATGTCGACGGCAGGGCAGTTTTAAACTTGCACCTTCCACGATCTGTGATTACTCTTGCATGTTTCTAAACAATTTCAAACTTTTCCCCTTCCTATTCATAACTCATACCTTACAGCAGACTCATATGTTCTAAATCATTATTAGTCATTTCCTTCCCCCCCCTTGTCCCTTCAAAAAAAAAAAACTTTGCCCAAATCAAACAAAAGAGTGGGAGAGAGACAGTGGCTGCCAAATTCTACTGCCTCTATGCAGTGAACTACTGAACATTGGGGTCAATGCAGAGATAAGCATCAGACAGCCTGCCCTAGTAATGCTTGTTATTGCGTTGTAAAATGTGTGCTTTCTTTTCTCCATCCCTCCTTTCAACAGCATAAGAAGAATTGGGTGCTTTCGGCTAAGGAAATCATTACTTTCCGTAAAGCTCTGATGAATCCGATCACATCTCTTCATTTTCAACACTTTGTGTCCCTGAAAGGAGATTTATTGGGGAATGGAGTGATTTTCTGGCAGGAAGTACAGAAATACAAGGTACAGCACTTAAGGAATGGAAATAATGCAGTTACTCAGCAACCAGGAAATTTATTTTTAATGCTATGGCCGTCAGGGTGGTCCTATGGCACGCCTGTCACAGGTGGCACATGTGAGCCATTTCTGAGGGCACGCAAGGCATTGCACTGTCAGCTCCAGCACACATCCATGCGTTCGCCAGCTGATTTTCAGCCTTGATTTTCGGCCATTTTTTTGCCCTCTGCAGGCTTCCCTGAATCCTCTGGAGGGCAAAAACTGCCCAATGCGCAAACCAGAAGTTTGGGAACGGACTTCCGGTTTGCGCGATGGGCTGTTTTTCTCCCCCTGGAAGCTTCATGAGGCTTTCCTGAAGTCTGCGGAGGGCAAACAATGGCTCAACGCGCCTCACAGAAGTCCAGAAGCTTGAGTGAGGCCTGCCCGTGGGTACAGGGTTGTGTATGCATGCATGGGAGAGAGGGCATTGCATTGTGAGTGTGGGCACACACACGACCCGCCCCCGCCGCCTCCGCTTTTGGCACGCCTCGACAAAAAGTTTGGGAACCATTTGTTACTTGGGAACCATTTCAGAATAGGCGATCTAAAGATACTGACTCGTGGACTCTTTGAGACTTGTCCTATTACTCAGCTAAACACTGAAATACAAACCTTGATGACCAAATACCTTTTTCTCAAATATCCCATTCCTTCCCCTTAGTCTACTTTTATACCTCTGGAATTTCTTGTTAGCCCTTCACTTCAGAATCAGGTCTGATCCTGCTGCCCAATTTAGAAAGCAGTCTCTAGGCTACTTAACCATACTGTGGTTGTCATATTCAATCCAGGATAGGATATGGTGCCTTTTACCACATAAGATCAACAGACTTGCAAGGAATCCTGATTCTGTAGCTCTAGGCCGTACTTGTGTGAATAGAATAGGATAGAATAACAGAGTTGGAAGGGACCTTGGAGGTCTTCTAGTCCAACCCCCTGCTTAGGCAGGAAACCTACATCACTTTAGAGCAATTTATCCAACATCATCTTAAAAACTTCCAGCGTTGGAGCATTCACAACTTCTGGAGTCAAATTGTTCCACTGATTAATTACAATATAATAGCAGAGTTGGAAGGGACCTTGGAGGTCTTCTAGTCCAACCCCCTGCCTAGGCAGGAAACCCTATACTGTTCCAAACAAATGTCTATCCAACATCTTCTTAAAGACTTGCAGTGTTGGGCCATTCACAACTTCTGGAGGCAAGCTGTTCCACTGATTAATTGTTCTAACTGTCAGGAAATTTCTCCTCGGTTCTAAGTTGCTTCTCTCCTTGATTAGTTTCCACCGATTGCTTCTTGTTCTACCCTCAGGTGCCTTGGAGAATAGTTTGACTCCCTCTTCTTTGGGGCAACCCCTGATATATTGGAACACTGCTATCATGTCTCCAGAAGTTGTGAATGGCCCAACACTGGAAGTCTTTAAGAAGATGTTGGATAGCCATTTGTTTGGAACAGTAT